AATTTGAACTTGACAATGTTCTCTGTTTACCTGAAACAGCTGCCAAATACTTCTATCTTCCTTTTCTTTCTTTCTTTCTTTCTTCCATCAAGTAGTCTCTTTCCTTTCTTTCCATGTGATCAAAAATAAATAATCCATTATTTATGAGGTATTGGCAAGGCGTAATGGTCATGCGAACTAATGAAGGGAGGTTCAAGCAGAATTATAATAGGATATTGGTGTCACATGACATGCTATGCCAATGTGCATTCAATTTAGGTTTTCAAAAAATAATGATACAATCTCCTTCTTAAAACAGAATTCATTTTCTTTTCACCTGCTGCTGATGTCAGATGAAAATATCAGCTACACAATATGAATTTTGGCCAATTTATCCACACAAAACAAAAACATTTTCAAAAGTATATCCATATTTACACCAGTTACATAATTTGGACTATTGTCTTCATCATTATTGCCATATTCACAATGTTTCAGCAGTTTTACGTGCAGATCTTCTTCAGGTAATATACACTGGAATTTTGAACCAAACCCTTTATTTAGTCCACAGAGCTAGATTATTCTCATTCTATGTGCTATGTCTTTTTTGTAAATAACGTAAATAGTTACAATACCTCATCTCAGAAATATAGAGAGATATCCACATATTTAAAAACAGATCATTACATGTAATAGACACAAAATGTCTATTGTTAAAAACAATAGACATCTAAAAGAACAATTACTGCCAATATATACCAAACATGTATTAATAAAAGGAATGATAAAAGGAAATTTTGTTTTATTATTGCTTTTATTAATATTGTCTCTGTGATATATCTATTTATATATACAGTAATGCCTTGAGATATGAGTAATTCGTTCCAAGACTGAGCTTGTAACTAAAAATCTCATATCTCCAGTTTTCCCCATTGAAATTAATGGGAATGTTTCTGATCTGTTCCAGGTACCTAAAAATCACCCTTATTTATCTAAAAGTCTCCCCAACTTTTATATTTGTAGGTTTCTTACAAGTAAAACTGTGTGAATAAGCTAGAAATGTAGTTCACAAACAATAAAATAAAAGAGAAAAAGCAAATTGTAAAGAAATAAACTGTGCTAAACCATGAAGTTCAGACAAGTCATAGGCCAACTGATGGAGGAGAGAGAGAGATAGAGGGAGAGAGGGGGGAGACAACAATAGCTAGCCTAGCAACGGCTAACCTAACCTAGCAACGGCTAGCCTCATCTCCGATACCGATTGACATTAACACATAATTTTTAAATTTTTTAAAACATTTACATTTTAGCCATTACTGTAACAATTTTTTTTAATTTTTAAAATTTTAAAATTTTTATTTATTGTTGATTTAGAACACTCATATTATCTCACCAAATCCATTACTGAAACGTCTCTCTTGTTTTTTTATAATTTCCTTCTTTACCTCGAGTGAAACCATACGTTTTGGCTTTTCACAATTGGTCTTTACACTTACTTTCTTCAGACCCATGTTGTCATGAAAGGACTTTTGTAAAATAACGGTAAAAAAAGGTGAACATGTGTACTGTGTGTGGAAATACTCTTGAAGCTTGACACTGTGCCAACTAACAGATGCTTTTAACTGAAACTCGCTCGCATCTCAAAATTCAGCTCATATCTCAAGGCAAAAAATCAGCTGAACTCCAGCTCATATCTCAAAAGAACTTGTATATCTCAAGGTGTTACCATATTAATTTTTGCATATATATATATATATATATATATATATATATATGCATGTGAGTGTGCATATAAGTTAATATATTGGGTTGGTGCATAATTATCAGGGGTTTTTGGAGCCGAGATATTTGTTAATAAAAATTGCTGTTTTGTTTACTTTTTTCATAAAAATATTATTTTATTTTCATGTTGTAGAAATGCATGCCAATAATCATACGTTCTGGAATAATGAATTAAAAATGTTATTGTAGAATTGTTATATTTCTTTTTTCATAATAAATACTGTTTAAAACGTCTGATAATTATGCACCAAATCAATAACAAAACAATGTGGAGGCTTGTTAAATGTCAATTCAGTTCAAAGTACAAATGAGACTTGTGTCAGCTTTCTTTACTCAGCCTTGAAGACCTGTTAAATTTATGCATATCTCATGGGATAGCTGAAGTATGGATAACAAAAAGGCAGAACTTGATATTACCCACAATGGTAAAAAAATGCTCCCAACATTTAAATACTATTATATGATGGGTAATAATCTCAGTATTATATAAGAGGACCAATACTATGTTTAGTTTCATCAGTTCCAACCTTTAGTCTGAGAATATGCCATGCTACTTCCATAGAGTTGAATCACCCACATTTCCTCCATGTTACAAATGTAAGAAAAAAGTCCCACTCAGCTTTTTCGCAAGAACTGCCACTTTGTGAAACAAACTCCTGCATGGGTGCTTCCTTGAACACTTTAATCCTAATGATTAAGTCAATGATGAATCATTATCTATCCTCATTTTCTTCATTATCTTCACTTTCTACCACCTTCTTTTCCCATTTATATCATACTCGTCATTTATCATTACCATCTGATTCTAACCTCATTGAGCATTCTCAGGTTAACATTTAGTGCTGATGATGTGGAAAGATTATATTGAATCAATTGTTAGGTCTGCTATGAAGAAAGTTGGTTCACTGTGTCATGCTTGAGAATTTTTCTCTCCAGAATTTATTTTACATATTTATAAAGCTACCATTCATCCTTGCTTTGAATATTACTGCCACATCTGGTCTGGTGTTCCTGCTATATATTTAGAGATTCTTGATAAAATCCAAAGATGTATCTGTAATGTTATTAATCCTGACTTGGCATCTTGGCTTCAGTCACTTTCTTAGCACCATAATGTAGCTTCCCTATGATTTTTTATAAATACTTCCATGGTAATTGTTTTGATGAACTTTCCTCTATGGTACCTAGAACCTGCACAGTACTAGATTGGCAGATAGGTTTCATCATTTTACATTTGAAATGGCTAAATGTAACCCTAAGTTAACAGTCTCTTCTATTACATTTCTTACTTATGGAACTCTTTTCTGGCTTCTTGCTTCCTAGTCAATGTTGATCTTCAAACATTTAAATACAATGTCAATTATTATTTTCTGTATTCTTCTTATTAATAGTATTTTCTCATATTCTCTAACATTCAGTAACACTTTGCATTTTAGTGGCTTTATTAACTTGCTTGGGGTGAAATGATTAAAAAAATTAAATTGTCACACTCTATTTTAAATGTTTGTCTCGGTTTAGTCCAAAAAATACTTTTATGAAAAAGACTTTTATTGTTTTATTCTGTTATATAAAACTTTTTCCATGGTGGCTATCATTAAAAGAAGGCTTTTAGAATGGAATTTCAATACAAGCTTGCAAGCACTTTTATCAGTTTTCTTTGCATTCTGGAAACAGTCATTTCATATTCTTATGTGTCTTTTATAAACTAGGTTCATTACAGCAAATCTCATCTTTAAAATCCTTCAAAATATTTTTCAGCAGAATAGCTGATTTTTCATATTCTTTATTTTAGTTTGATTTTATCTCTTATTTTTAATTTTTTTTCCTTGATTTTACTTTTTTAAATTTTTACTTTTTTTTACTTTTCACTCTTTATTCTTCACCTATTTTTCTCCCATTTCTTTCTTCTTTTTCTCTATGCATTTCTGAATCACTCTTCTTCACACTCACACATTTATGTCATTGTAATATTTTTTCTTGTTTTTATATTTTTCCATTTTTTTTTCTCTCTTTTTGATATTTCATATTTGCTTTGGTTTCTCTTATTCTCGTCCTTTTCTCTTTCTTTTACTTTTTTCTTTTCTTCTTACTACCTTTCCTCTCATCTCTTTTTCTCTGTTTCATTCTCAGATTTTTCTTTTTCAGTTTCTTTCTCTTTATCTTTATGTTTTTGTTCTTTCTCTTTCTTCTTTTGAAATGATTCCTCATTCTTTCCCTCTATCTCATTCCCCATCATCTCTTTCCTGTACTCTCTCTTCCTCATTTCATCTTACCCATTATTACCCTTTTCCTTCTTTTTATTATCTTTTCTCTCTTTCTTCTTTTTTCTCTTTTTTCTTTTGAAACCATTTCTCATTCCTTATCTCTCTCTCTCTCTCTCTCTCTCTCTCTCTCTCTCTCTCTCTCTCTCTCCATCATCTCTTTCCTGTATTCTCTCTTCCTCATTTCTATTGGTATACTTTTCCTTCTTTTTCAACTCACCCTGCCTCCCACTCTCTCCTAGTGTTCTTGCTTATTCTTCTCTTTCCCACCACTCTCTCTTTGTTTACATAGCACTATTTCTTTCATTCTTTCATTAATATCTCCAGACCTTTTGTGGTATCATTCAGGCCACATACTCCCATCACAAGAGCCATCTAAAGACATTTTCTTCTTTTGTGCTTTTCTTTTGCATTTCCTGTTTTCATTGGACAACTAAAATACTTTCTTTTCCTCTCCTCACCTCTACCTCTGTGTCACCTATACACCCACCCATTCCTCCTCTTATTGCATCTCATTGCTGCCATGTATTTATCTGTTGCATCTCTTTGCCATCTTGATGGGCAAGTATAAGGTCAAAAGAGAAGAAAAGAGGTGCTTCAAGATAACAAAAAGAGGAAATTAAAAAAATAAATAAGAAAGTGAAAGTGAAAGTAAAAGATATGATTGAATGAATTAAATTGTGTATTGGAATAGAGAGAATAAAAATAATAAGTAAAAGAAAAAAAAACAAAGAGTGAAAGTAAAACTAGTGACAGAATTAATTAAACATTAATGAATGTAGAGAGAGAAGTAGGAGAGGAAGAAGAGAGTAAAAATTACAAAGAAAAAGAGAAAGAAATGAGAAGAAAAGACACAGTCAAAAGAATTAAAGATGACAAGAGAAAGAAAGAAGATTAAGAATGTTCACAAGGAGAAATGAATGAAATAGAAGTTAGAAATGAATAACGAATGAAAAGAGAATGGGTAAAATAATTAAGTTATGAGTATGAAGAAGGTACAAGTGGATGAAGAACAAAGTTGACAGAGTAAAAGAAGTAGTGGAATAATTGTAGATGGACAGAACATGAAAAAGAAAGTTTGAAAGAAAAATAAAATGTGAAGATTTGATAGAATATGATTATGTTAATAGAAAGGGTAATGAGGAGAAATCCACTTAAGAATAAGTTGGCCTGAAAGAACTGAATGCAAAGAAAAAAGAAACAAACAGCCTGAAAGAGAAGAAATTAAAGCAGAGAAGATGATAGAAAAACCAAAAGAGAATGTAATAAATTAAAGTGCACAAGGAATAAAGAGACCTGAAGAAATATTATCTGATAGAACAAGAATAAATTGACAAAGACATGATAATGAAAAAATGAAAGAGTGAATGAGAAAGAGAAGAAGGAAAAAAAGAATAGAAAAAGTGAAAATGAAGAATAGAAAAAAGAAATGGTGCAATGAATGAGTGTATAAAATAAAAAGAAACAAAACTATATTAAAAATGTAAAAATAAGAAACACTTTGAAGAAAATATGAATCAAAGAGCTGAAAAAAGAAATAAAGAAAAAAAAGGAAAGAAAATTTGAAGGAGAAATGAGTGAGTAAGACAACAAGGAGAAAGAAAAAATAATATGAAGAAGCAAAAAAAAAAAAAACGATAATGAAAGGAAGAAATGAAAGGGAAAGAAATTAATAAAATACAAAGAAAAAAAAGTGAAGAAAAATAGAATAATTTTTTTTTAAGAAAAAGAAGTGAAAAAGCAATTAAAGAATAAAACTCTCATTGGGGAAGAATGTTAAACATATAGAAGCAAAGAGAGTGGGCGTGAAGATAGAGAGGGACGAGCCTAGGTATGGACAGAGAAAAGAGGACGGTGGGTGGGGCTAAGCACCATTGAATAAGACTTTTTTCTCTTTCATTTGGTGTCCCCTGAAATGCAGACTACTACTTGGGTTTCATGCCCCCCCACCTCTTTGCACCCCCAACCCCACTGCTGTCACTGATGCTTGACACAAGCTACACAGATAGGGAAGAAAAGGGTGGACACTGTGAGGGGGGAAGGGACTGATAAGATTGGCTGGGGTTGGAGTGGGGATGACAAGTCTTTTGGAGCTCAACTACGGGAACTAAATTGAAAATCAACAAAACCAGCGGACACAAATGGTATTTCTAATTCATCTTCAGTGTACATCCACTGCACCCCCTGGACACACAACTTACACCTTTGCTGCTACTCCTCTCACTCTGTCTGTCTGTCTCTCTTTCAGTTGAGTCATATTCTCTCACTTTTTGCCAGTCTCTTTTCCATCAGCACCCACATAACTGATAGGATGACTGTCTCAGTATGAGGTAATGGTTAGTGAGCTGGTCTGATTGACTAGATAGTCACTAGATGACCCATACTTGTGGCCTTGTGCCATAAGCTAAGCTTAGTAAATACCAGCACCCAGAAAAATTGTTTCTACATAACTGAAAGTAAATTTGACCTAGCTAACTGCCTAGTAAGCTGCAATTCCAGCCTCTCTCTCTCTCTCTCTTTTTTTCCTTTTTCTCTAATTCTTTTACTTTTCTTCTGTACCTTTCTGTTTTTCTCTCTTTTCTATCCTCTCTCTCTCTTTTTCTCTTGGTTCTGACTAACCATTCAAATTCCATGTAACTGTCAATAATTCATAAATTTCTCTTTCTCTTTTCCTATTTTTCTTTTTGTTTCACATTTCTCACAGACTTTCTCTTTTTTGATATAACTCTCTTTAATTGTTTTCTTGTGCCATCTTTTCTCTCAAATCATCTTCAGTATTTGACACACTCTCTCTCTCTCTCCTTTTCTCTCAGTAGATAGTGAAGGAAAGGTTTAAACTATACTGTGGAGAGGAAAATAGTGATAAAACAGATATGGAAGGAATGGCAAGTCATTGGATCTCAACTATATATATATATATATATATATATATATATATATATTGTTTCTGAGCAGCACCCCTATACCACCTTAACTTAAACTGATTTTAAAACTAACTTATATTTGATATATAAGTAGTCTAGGGAAATTAAAACTCAAACACCCCTTATCAAAATGATTGAATTTTCTGTAAACTTAATTATTTAAAATATTAAAATTGTCCCTGCTTATAAATGAAGTAAAATTCTTAATAGGTTATTCTAAAAAAATTGCTTGATAAGGAATAAAGCTATGGATTTTAAAGTTAATTTTATAATTAAATTTGAAATTTTAGTTTCTATTTTGAAACATGGTAATTCCTGTGTAGCAATGGAACTATATTTTTAAAATAGAAAAATAATATATATATATATATATATATATATATATATATATATATATAAAAAAACCTAGTGAGAGAACCTACCTACCAAGGTTTCACCTAATGGATCTTCAGGGTACTACCATATATATATATATATATATATATACAAATGTTTGGAGGTACAAAATTTATAAATAGTTTTTAAAACAAAGGAATGCATTGATTTTAATTTTTAAAAGTCTCTAGGGCCCTTTCCTGAAAGGGCCCTAGAACTTTTAAAAATAATGCATTCCTTGTTTTTAAAAATATATATATATATATATATATATATATATATATATATATATATATGGTGCAGACTGTTAGACAAAATAATCACTGTTTAAAAAAAAGGAGCATTTACTCAAATACAGGTATCCACTAAAAAATAATGTTTGAAGTAATAGAAATATGTCAGATTAAAAAGCAAAATCCATGAATTCTTTAGAAATTGCATTGTTTACATTTTGAAATGAAATTGGGCATATATATCTTTCAAGAAGATCTCAGTTAGTGAATGTGTATTAACGCAAATAGATCCTTGCCTGACTGTGCAGGTCTCCATAGCTGTATGGTCAATGCATGCCAGATCTGATGGTGCTTTCTACAGCAAAGGGGGAAGCAGGTTTGAATCCTGCCAGAGAGCACATTTTCCATATTAAGTTTTCTTGAGTGCATAGACTGGTGGATGAAATAAACACTGTTTAAAAAATGAAGAATCTACTTACGTATGAGTATCCACTAAAATAACTTTTGAAGTAATAGAAATGTATATAAAGATCCAAAAGACTCTTGTCATGCATCCCAAATCAGTCATATCAGTATTTCTTTCCAATGCATTAGTATCCAAAAGTGTTCTTCTCTATCTATCTATCTAGATAGATAGATAGATAGATAGATAGATAGATAGATAGATAGATATGAACATAATAAAGCATAGATAGGTAGATACAAACATAATAAAGCATAGATAGATAGATAGATAGATAGATAATAAAGCACAGATAGATAGATAGATAGATAGATAATAAAGCACAGATAGATAGATAGATAGATAGATAGATAGATAGATAGATAGATATGAACATAATAGATAATAAAGCAGATATAGGTAGACTGATAGATAGATATAAACATAATAAAGCAGATATGAATACATTTATAGATAGATACATAGACAGATAAATAGATACAAACATATTAAAGCAGATATAGATAGATAGATAGATAGATAGATAGATAGATAGATAGATAGATAGATAGATAGATGGGTTGGTGTATAGGTGACACAAAGGTGATTGTGAGAAGAATAGAAGATATCTATCTATCTATCTATCTATCTATCTCAGTCTGTTCATCATCTATCTATCTATATATCTATCTCAGTCTGTTCATCTATCTATCTATCTATCTATCTATCTATCTATCTATCTATCTCAGTCTGTTCATCATCTATCTATCTATCTATCTCAGTTCTGTTCATCTATCTATCATCTATATATCTATATATCTCATCTGTTCATCATCTATCTATCTATCTCTATCTATCTATCTATCATCTATCTATCTATCTAGTCTGTTCATCATCTATCTATCTATCTCAGTCTGTTCATCTATCTATCTATCTATCTATCTAGTCTATCTATCATCTATCTATCTATCTCAGTCTGTTCATCATCTATCTATCTATCTATCTATCTATCTATCTTATATTTTTAACTTTTGATTCTTTTTTATTAATCTTTCTCTTTTAACCAGTTTCTTTATTTCTCTTCCTCTCACATTTCACTTTTTCTTCATTTCTCAAATTACAATTTTATTTTCATGTTTTATCTTCCACTTTTTATTTTAACCATCTTTCTCCTTCATTTCTTTTTATTCCTTAATTACAATATCATTCTTTTTTTTTTTTTTTTTCTCTCTACTCTTATATTTCTTTTATTCACTTTCTTTTTTTTGGGGTTACTTTTATAACTATTATTATTTTTCTTCAATTGTCCAAATTGTCTGTTCTTTTCTCTCTTTATCTATTTCTGATATTCAGCTTTCTTCCTTTTTCATCTTTTTTTTGATATTTTCTTCTCTCTCTTTCGGACATTCAGTTATCCTCTTTTTCTTTTTGTCCTATCTTCTCTCCCTCTCTCTCTTTCTTATATTCAGCGTTCCTCTTTTTTCTTTTTTTAACTCAGCGTTTATTTTACTATTTCTTTCTCTCTTTCAAATATTCAATTATCTGCTTTTCATTTCTTTTCTCTCTCTCTCTCTCTCTCTCTCTCTCTGATATTCAGCTTTCCTCCTTTTCTTTTTAATCATTTCTTCTCCACCTTTCCCTCTTTCTGACATTCAGTTATCCTCTTTTTCTTTTTTTTATCTCTTCTTTCACTCTTTCTCTCTTTCTGATAATCAGCTTTCATCTTTATTTTTTAAATGTTTTCTTCTTCTTCATTTACTCTCTTTCTTCCTCTCTAATCTTATGCATTATTTATCATATGTTTTATTAACTCATTCAGTGCAACAGGTGCGGAAAGGTTAATCATACAAAGGAGATGGTCACAGCTGACCCAATAAATAGATTTTTTATACCTAATTTGTACCAAAAGAAAGGTGAAATACAAGAATACAAGAATCAAACACTAAAAAAAGTTGTTTTCATTTCCCTTTGTTGTTTTTAATCAAGTGATGCACAATTAAGCAGAACATTTGCAACTTTGAGATTTTTTTGCCTATTATCTTAAAATTAATAGCATTTTTAGAAAACTTTTAACATACTTGCTAACATTTCTTATAAGCACTGCCTTTTCTTCTTCATGTTCCTTTCAAAGCAAATGCACTTGTGAGTAATAATGTTGGTAAATAAAGCTACAGAAAATTTACATGGATTTTTATCAGAACCATTTTGCATCAAACACTTTTAAAATATAAATGATGGCCGTGGCCCCACAAAAACATATTTTCAAATAATTTGTACTTGATTAAAATCAAAGACATTATAGTTTTCCATCAAACACTTAAAATATAAATGATGGCAGTGGCTCCTAAAAACATATTTTCAAGTAATTTTTACTCAATTAAAATCCAAGACATTATAATTTTCCATCAAACATTTTTAATATATAAATAATGGTAGTGGGTCCAAAAAACATATTTTCAAATAATTTTGTACATGACTGAAATTCAAAGAATATGAATTATTTTGTTGATATATTCATATTAGTCCCATTATCTTCCTGATTTAAAGCCATAGATAAACAGAAATATCAATTGTTTCAATGATAAAGGAACTATTTTTATCATTCAAAATTGACTTGCTCTCAAAGAAACTGAAAATGTTTTTTTGCAAAAGAATTTGTTCATAAACTTAGTAGTCAAAATGAACCCTCGTTACTTTTTTATGCTCCTTTTCCGAAATATAATATTTAGCCTTTCATAGGAAAATTAACATGAATTTGAAATCAACCCTTGTTTTTTTTTTGTCAACTTTTCAGAAATGTGTACCAAAGATAAAAGAATTTTTAAATGGTTGATCCAAATAAAAAAACATTATGGAAGGCATAGTTGGTGATCAGTGTCTGATAGAAAGTTTAGGTATTAACTTATATTTAACATGTAGCTTTTCAACACAAGAATTGACAAAGTTTAAAGTAAAATCTATTAATCAAAGAAATTTACTGCAACCAATAAGCAAAAATATTGTAAAGAATAAGAGGGTAGAAATTTTACTTATATAAGATGCAAAAAAGAATTATAAAAATTTTGGTTTTTCAGGTGAATTTAAATTTACTTCATGTGCAGGTAGTGTAATGGTGAATGGCTCAAGACAAGAAAATGATGAGCTGAGTTCAAATTCTGGTCAAGTTTATTACATTTACTTATGGACAAATACCTTTGGGAAATGCATGAATCTATCTCTTTTCAATCAGGTGGCTGGTACTTGGTAATACTTAAGGTTTGTTAATAAAATTTTTTATCAAGATTAGAATGATAAATAAATAAAATTAAAAAGAAAAGATTATTGTGGCTTATTTGCAATTTTTGTTTAACAAGCATTCTAGGGTAAGTTAATGATTCAAAAAAGATGTGATCCTTGACATATTTACCTCTGTTTTCCAAATTGAAGAAGGTTCCATTCAAACAGTTATTTTCCTGAAAAACTGCCAATTTGTAGAACAAACTCCTGCATAGGGACTTCCTTGAACACTACAATAGTAACCTCTTTGAGTCAAATGTCAATCATTATCTATCCTCCTCATCCTCATAATCTACACTTCCTAACACCTCTTTTCCATTCATATTACTCCCATCATTTATCATTACCATTTTAACTCTACCTTGAGTGGCTGTTCTTTTTTTTTCTCCAAATCAATGAATTTTTTTGCTCATGCTATTTTTCAAAAAAACACTATATAAAATTCACTATTTTTATCCAAAATAATGTATTAAATTTCTTCAACATTTTAGCAAGAAAAATCTCAAGTTAATGTTAAAAAATGCAACTAAATATTCTTGATTTATTTAAGATGGAATGATCTATTATGACATGTCTCTAATTTGTATTTAGATACATTGTGTTTATTTTCAATCTTTCTAGCTGAATTGTTCACCTATATTGCATACAATCCATTATTTTACATAATTAGGTTACAATAAAATTTGTACTTTATACGAATATTAGCTTATGAAAACTGAGATATCATAGATTGAGTGGGGGCACAAAACCCTTGCACCAGCCCTGCATTTGTGAATGGATATTTCTACACTGAAAAAAAAAAGAACCATTAAAATTAGTAGACATAAGACATTTAGCAATAAATGTTTAAAGAAACAAATGCTGCCTAAATATACTAAATTTAAATGTACACAATATAAATATTTTAAATCCAAGAATAATCAGCCATAACAAAAATGAAATGGCCAAAGAATAAATGATGCGAAATTCAACTCTGGCAATGAAAATAAAAATGATCTATCTTTGTGAATATGTACGTACTTCTGATTAGTCAGAAAGTGCTGAATAATTCAATCCAAATTTGTTTTTGGGTGGAAAATATAATCTATATGCAAATGCCTTTTTTTATCTCTATCAAACTCAAGACTTATATGTGACAACATCAAAGTAAATTCACTTGTATATTAAATGACCAGTTTACGTTTTGTAGCTGCATAAATTGAAAGAGGAGGGAGAAGGAAAGAAGTAA